TTTTTGCAAATGACCAGCCTCTGAGAGGTTTTTCATGATTAAAAAGAAGTTGCGCATTCTAAGCCATTGTCAAATGACAAGTTAACTGGTTCTTTTAGTTGAATTGCCAGTAGTTCTATCAAAATTATAAATTTTTTTCTGGACTGCAGCGTCATTTCAATAGTTTCTTAAATTAATGAAAATTCTATTAACTGAATATAATAATAGGTTATTGCAAAAAAAATTCACTGCTAATTCTTCACTGCATTCTTGAAAGGATTCCTAAGAGACAAGTTTGCCTTTTTTTCAGTGTCTTCCACTTTTTAATACAACTAATTGGTGTAAGAGTCACCAAAACATCTAACTAGTGGGCGGTGTATCGACTAGCATAAAGCCTGACTAGCATAAAAGTTTTAAAAGTGGAAATTGTGTCGGCTAGCATAACAATCCAAACAGAAAATTCAAATAAGTACAAGTGAAAAAATACCGGAAAAACTAAACCATTATTCGCAAAATATGGATCAATCATACAATTCCAGGATCTCTTTAACTATATCCCCCTCAGCCAAGTTGTAATTTTGAATATTAATTCTGTATAAAATATGCATTTCGAACAAACTCACTAATTAAATTTGACCAAGTTAACATCCTTCCCTATAACCCCCCACCAAATGTTTAGAGGCGAGGATGTTAGCTTTGTCTTGAGTTCGAATTTTCAGCCAATCAGATTGAAGCATTTTACATGCAGCGCTTAGTTAATTGAAGTGAATTTAATTCTTGAGGGGGAGTTGTAGGGGTGGGGGTGGTCGCATGTTAGGGGAGGGGAGGGGGGATGGGCGCATGATTGTTAAGTTGATCCAATTAATTTGCTAGTTGATTGCTTAATTTCTCATTTGGTGTCGATTTTCAGAACTAGTGTCAATTTTCAGAACTACTGTCAATTTTCAGAATTATAAGGATCGCGTAGAGTATCAATGTAATTATTAAGCTTAGACTCCTCATTTTGCAAAAGTTTGTTTGAATTTCTACTTTTCCAACATCAAAAATTAGTGTTAGATAACCCTATCCCAGGTAACTATCGTTTTAGACGAATAATTTTATTAGGCCGTCTTCTTATATTTTTTCTCTTGTTAATAACCAAAAATCTTTATACACCTCTCGTTCAATTTTAGAATTATCTATTCCTTCAAAAAAGCATTTCTTTGTTTCATTTTAAAAAATGCTTTCCAAGTGTCAAGAATATTCAACTTTCTTACCTAGCTTAACTTGATATCGTGAGTGACGTTTGCTGTCAATTTTTTTTTCAGTTTAAAACAGGTTTTTTAATTTAATTTTGTTGCTTTTCTAGTTTCACTGAATCCATTTTTGTGCGCATTTTCATACACAAAACTCCATAGTACTTCAAAAAAAATTAACATTTGAATTTTTATAAAACTAAAAGAAATTTTTAAGAGTCAAGAACGAGTCATGAGCGTTTAAGAGTACTTTTAGAACGACACCAATTTGAGAAAATATTTTTGTATTTTTCAAGACCGCAGAGTAACTGGCTATCCTTGTCTTTTTTTCTAATCGTCTGGACCTTAAAATATGGTTCAGTTACAGTACTCAAATGTTTAGCTGATTTTGAGCTACTGTTCGCCAAAGTCCCGAATGATTGTTGATAAAATCTATAAAATTTATAGAATTGGATTTAGCAGTTGCATCAAAACAAAAGCCGATTGAAATATGTTTTCAGACTTTAACTTGTACTGTTGGAGCCTAATTTGTGCATTATCTAGGTCCTTCGTATACTACAATCAACGAGATACGAAATAATTTTCGAGTGAGGCCAATTAACTGTTAAGTCAATCATGTAACTAGCGCCTCAACTGGCAACTCTTTTGTGAAATTTACAGTGCTGCGTTTGTTTTTGAAAACCAGTTTATCTAAAACGCCTATTTTTCTGATAAAATTTTTCCATAAATTTTAACGATGACTCGTAATACTGAAATTGGTCGGTAGTTTGACGGTTCTCTACGTGAACTAGGTTTACAAATTGATGCAAAATTGGGAATGAGATTAGATTACATTTGCTTAATAAGAAAAAGGCACTGTTCATAATTATCTTAATTTTTTCAATTAATTTTGGCCCATTGGATACAAACAAAAACGTTCAAATCAACTACCATTAAGGTATAGCGCAATACTGAATCGATTTTGTTTCTGCCTGTCCATTCTTTAAAAACACAAAAAAAACGGCTTCAACTTTACCTAATCGACTATGAATTTTGACCAAAAAGTGGCATATATGAACAAAGCAAACTAGACTCTGTTGTGAAATTTGCCTAAGAGTTTTTCGTTTTCTTCATAATTGGATTCAACTGATGAAAGCGGGTAGGGGCAATGGTAATACACATTTCTTACGTAAGATTTTTTGATTTTAAAAAACCGTATGGAGCAAAAAACCTACGTCATCAATGGCCGAGAATTTGATTTCCTAAAAAATAATCAGGTACTCTATAAGATTGATCTTTGATCTTTTTTTTGCATCGAAATTATTTCAGTCTAACTTCACAGTTTTCCGGCTGCTTTTTAGAGCCACCCAGTGATTCCCGTGATTTTATTATTTACATTGTCAATTGTAATCTTACCATTATAGAGCTAATGTTTTGGAATATTTCCAATGGATCGAAAAATCCCAAAAAAGCATTCGTTTTGACACTTAGAATTGCATTTCGCTCCTCGAATACATATTGCCTTTGGTGCTGTTTTCCCAGTCTGTCGTTGTTCCTCAACTTCTTAATTCTTTTAAACCAAATTTTTTCTGTACAAAGTTTTGTCCCTTCCACAAGATGATTTTCTCTCAGCTTAGAGTTTTGTAATAGTTTTCAGTTTTGACTGCTGAAAAATACTTGGCCCACTTCAATCAAAAAGCGAAAAATAAGCAATTAGTTTTAAGCGATAATTCGGTGCAATTTTAAAAAGCAGAAGTTCGCCGCAAAAGTTGTGTCTTAGCGACGGATCTCAGCAGCACGGTTGACTACTAATTGAGGTTTAAATTACCGGTGCGAATTGAGCAAAACATTTTGCGGAAGTTTTTGTCAGATTCAAATTGAATCAAATAAACAGTAAAAACAAAGATAAATTCCCCTATAATGCATACTTGCATTTAGTATCATCTAAATTAACTTTGTTCCGATTCAATTTTTTGATGTATCTCTTGTCAATAATTTCCTTGACAGAATCCAGCTGCGAAAACAGATACTTTTTTAACAACAACATTATTGGCCGAATTTGCATATAAATTTTTCATCCTATCTGGAGATCATAGTCACAAAAAATCATTTGAGGAACAAGTCAAAAAATCAGTACAAATGTTTGACAACTTATACAGGTGCTGGAACTTGATATTTCAAAGTTGAGATTTTTCTCTTTCCATTCTGTTTGCAACGTCAAAATAGCATGAGTACAAAACGTGCGTATTTATGGGAAAAAATTGACAACAACGGCTCAAAAAGCTTGATTCTCTGAAATTCATTTTAAAAAAGTTGACAAAACTCTTTGACTTAAAGTAAAATTTCAAAGTCTTGGGGAAAACCTGATAAGCAAAAAGAAAAAATAATAAGTGTTGGAGCACCTAAGAATCGTTTGTGTCTAAAATGCTGAGGAAGTTAGTCTCGAAACAGTTGTTAACTTGCCTAGGTACAAGTCAACTGCCAGAACAGTTTGCTAGCAACAAGCCACTGATTCCACTACCAGTCAATAATTGATTTTGCGGTGTCTTTTGAGTTAGGCAGTAACCTGCGCAGGAATATTTGTCCTCTTTTTGGATTGGGTTTGCATGACATTTTCCAACTGTTGAAATTTATTACTACAGAAGGGAAATAGAAATTTCGAAAAGCACCAAAGTCTGGTCAGCAAATAGACATTTAAACTTCGCCCGGCTATCCTTACCTAGTGTAACTAATTCAATCTGGGACTAGCAAACAAAAAGTTTCCATAAGTATTTTTCGTCTTCAAAATGAAAATGGAGAGCAAAACATTGCGGCTTTCAGAGAGTTAAAAATAATCATAAAACCAGCATTCGAGCCTTAACTGTATTTTTTGGATTTTGAGATGACGCAAGGGGTTGGACAATTTCCCATTTTAATGCAGAGTCTGTTCGAAAACGCGAAATGGAACACAAAAAACCAAAATTTCAGATGAAAATAGGTAAAGGTCGTTTCAGTTGGGGATGGGTGTGCTCATCCTTCATTCACAAAATCATTCAAATCCTCAAAGAAGAGGAAATTCCGTATGTGGACAAACTAATCAGAACAATTGCCGGAGAAAGGGCCGCCGAAATAACTAAATACAAAAACAGATAATCAAAATTAGTGGATCTAACATTGCGTAACATTACACTTAAAATTAACACTCTCAAACAGCTCGAGGGTCTCTCATTCAATTTTGGTTTATAACAGTTTGTTCTTAAATTCAATCTTCTCTTCTACGTTTTTTGATGTGAGACTAGTTTGATATTTTGATCTGTTTTTGTGCTGCGAGTAGTCGCATTTTAAAAACGCTACGAATTGTCGCTTGCGACGACTTTTCGCTTCCGACAAATTTTCGCTTGCGACGAATTGTCGCCAAGCCGCTTCTATGATTTACTTTGAAGTACCAAACAGTTGGACGAAAACCCATTATACGACACATAGCCTCTGGCGGTTGTTGGAACAATTAGAAAAAATACAACCTACTAGTTAAAAATTTTCATCTTGCGCAAGACTTCGAGGAAATGAATCTATACAGGTAAGGCATCACAAGGTAGAGCGTCCCGTTTTGAAAACCAAACGATGCTTCTCCCACAGTAAAAAGTCAGCTGTCAAACAAAGCCGACCTCATATTTGTCATTATCGAGTTCTCTTTTATATTTTATCGGTCGTGTTTATTTCAATGATTGCAATAAAAGGTATGATTGGAAAACATTTCGTAAGCTGTCATTTAAAAGGCAGCGACGAAGAGATTTCAAAATCAAAATTGACAATTCTCTTTGGTTTTAGCCGAAACATCCAAACTAAGGAATGCGCGACCCAAACAGCCTGACTCGGGGTCCAGTCGGAAGACGGGGCCGGGTGGCGAATACTCCGACTGCTACTGGCAACAACAACAGTCGGACAGTTTCGGTGCAGATTCTTCCGAGAGCATTCTGACTAAATCTAAAGGATCCATAAAAGGAGTGTTTAAACGCAACTTGTTCAGCAGGAAACCAAACTCGACTAAATCATTCAGTGTCGATGACGGATCTCTGCACAATTTGTAAAGAAAAACATGTTTTAATAATTTTTGTTCTTGCTAGTTTTTTTGAGTTAAGGTTCGATGTATAGCTTTCGTTGAACTATACTAAAAAGTCTCAACATCTTTGCAGGCACGGACCTAGGAATTTCTCGATTGGAGGAGGGCGGATTTTCTCCAAAACCACTCTAAAGACCCTATATTGACCAATTTTTCTGCGCCGTAGGCAATTTTTTTCAAAAAACAGGCCAAAAAAGGCGTTTTTGGGCTTTTTTGGAAAATGTCGACCAAAAAATCGCGTTTTTTCGGCGCGCGCTCCCACATCAAAATTAGTATACATTGGTGCCGAAGACGCCTTTAGAAAAATTTGAAGGTAAGGCATCCAAAATAGATATCTCAAGTTAGTACAAACGGGGGACCCTTTAGGTCGGCAGGGTCCAATCCCTGAAGGAACAGGGCGTCCGTTCCGTCCCCCGCCCTAAATCCGCTACTGATCCTGTGGTTTTTTCTAAAAATTGAACTTTAATGAGCAGTTCAATTGAAGTTAGAAACTCATATTGCTCTGAAAGACCAGGGGTGGATTTTAGCAGAAGCTAAAAACCAACCCCCCCCCCCTCCTCAGAGAATCGACCCACTGCAGACCCGAAGGGTCTCCCTTTAGGACCACTATTTTATGACATTCAACTTTGGCTTATTGGCACTAAAATTTTTCGAAAGGCGTCTTTGACGCCATTATATACTAAACTTGAAGGGGCACCGAATAAACGCAATTACTTGGTCAAAGAAATCCAAAGAGTGCCTGAAAATTTGTTTTTTGGTCTGTTTTTTCAGAAGTTTGCCTCTCTCGCAAAAGTTTGGTCAAATGAGAGCTTTATACAGATTCGGGAGAGAATCACTTTTTGAAAATCCGCCTACCCTTTACGAAAAAATCATAGATCCGCCCCCGCTTGTCACTGACTGGAATTTGCAAAAAAAAAGATTCAATTGCCTGTGAGCTCAAATAAAAAAATTTTTCTGGGATGTGATTTAAAATTGGGGTCATTTTATACAGCTAAATAATATACTAACTAAATCTATCAAATGATTCGTTTTTTTTTGCGATAGGGTCATTAATTAAAGCATTTATAATTTATCCAATATATAATTGAACCTTTTTGGTGTTTTTCGATTATATATTACGAATGTGATTTGACGAAACCGTTTCCGGCTCATTTTAATTCAGATCAAAAATTGCTTTTAAATAGCTAGAAAAATATTGAAGGAACAAGCTTACAAAGAAGCGTTCAAATATAGTTCAATCATCAATTTTAGATCTAATAAAAGCAAACCCTTGCAAATCATGGTAACGAGTCCCCGTAAAAAGAGCTGCAAGCCAATGGTTACATCCAAAGTTTTGAATCCCATGAAGAATCAAATCAAATCATTGTGGAAGGGATTGTTAAAAAGATCCATTTACTGACTGTTCAATCAATTTTTGGCCCAACTCCCCTCATTCGAATAGGTGAGTCATTTCCATCTGCAACTTCAACATCAACAACCGGGTTTCGACTCCCGCTAGGAGCTGCTCTAACAGGCGAAGAGCAACTCTGTGTGTTGTTGTCGGGAGGCGTGCAGCCGGTACTCATCAGTATACCTGAGTCGATTCGGCAGTCGGCGAGAGTTGTCGTCATCGGCTGTTCGTCGGCTGGATCCTCGAGCTTAGCGTGAAACAGGAGGTCGATTCCTTCGAATATGAACTTGTGCTCTGCTTCCAAATATTTCTTGTACAGAATGTCAATTTGTGCATGAGAGAGGTCCTTAAAATATGCTTCCTAGTTTTGTTGCTTGCTTCAGAAATAAAAAAAATCAACCGAAAGTTGACAACGCCCAACTATTCATTGCGGTTCACCTTCCATTAAAACTTTTTTTTGCAAAATCAAAGCTGAAATGCACATGTTTTTTCTTGCGGCTAAGAAATATTGAGGGAAACTGTTTGGGTTGAAAATACTTTTGCTGGACCTTTATGGAATTTTCAATGACAAATTGTGAAAATTTTTCTTCATCAGGAATCATCAAGCTTTGAGCTCTTGAGGTTTTATACTGGCACTGCGACAGTTATGTAAGAAAAAACCACTGATACAAAGAGATGGCACATATAAATCTGGTTTGTCAATATTTTTCCGTGAACTACCTTGGAGGCGACTCCGATTGGGTTGTGTTTGGAGTCGAATATCTCGTGGGTCTTGTGGTCGTAGTATCCCCCTATGTTGTGCTCCATCATGTCTGCCCCGAACAACTCTATCGCGTAGCTGCATCTGATCCCAATCGTCAAGTCAATCAGCTGGAAAAACAAAATGGCTCACTGTCTCACTCCATGCATTTTAATTTCGTAAACCTACTGATTACATTTCAAAAATGAACTTTACTTTAAGCTGCAGACAAGGATTTGGGAGTTGAGCATTAAAAATGGAAAGCATTAAGATATGAAAACGCAGGGGTGGATTTAGGGGAGCAACAAAAGGAGGGTTTATTTGGTATTACTTTATGACATCCAATTTTGGTAAAGCAACCTTAATTCAAAGCAACCTTAATTTCATGAGAAAGTGCGCGCCAAAAAAACGCAAATCTTTAAAACCAAATTTAGCCAGAGTTCAGAAATTCCTTTAAACAAATTTAACTTTTGTGCAAAAGTGTTTAGCAAAATAGGCTCTTGAGTGTTTTCAAAGCCAAAAATTAAAATGATCAGCCAAAAAAACAGAGGCCGAACATTTTTGAAAATTCTTGATGTCGTTCAATGCTAACCGGTACTTGTAAATAAAATCCTAATTCCATCCCGCAGTTTCGACTGAGTATTTTCAACACTCATTGAAACCTTTTTCTGGGAAAACTCCGATCTTTTTTTCGACAAACCCTACAAACAAAACTTAACAGATTTCGCAAAAAAATAGAATATTTTTTTGAAAAACTGTTTGTCGACGAAAACGTATAATTTTCATGCAAACTTATCTAATTTATAATTTAGAGCAAAACATTGTCTCTGAAGACGAAAACAAAAATGACAATTAAACTTTTTGACTGACTTTGAAACTTATTATGATGCAAAAATAATGGTGATACAATTTCACTAGAATGCGCAACCGTGGTTTGTGTGAAAACACAGGAAACGGCTAATAACTTTAGATGTAAAACGTTGAAGTTCAATTTCTTGAATTCCAAAATTTAATCTTTTAGTTTACTTCGTTTTAGCTCAGGTCGACCAGCTTAAATCCATACACGAGAATGGTGAACTGAATGAACGAAAACCATTTTCATAACAGCTTCTATAACCTTCGCTATAACCAGATAAAAAAATAGATTACATAATTACATAGCGTCAATGATAAAAAAAATCACTGCAGCTGCAGTAGCAAAGACTATGTTTCAGCTCAAGATTACTGCAACCGTAGTTCTACATTCCCCTGAGGATCAAGCAACTTTTATTATATGAAAAAATATTTTTAATACTATAATATGAATTTCAATACTCCATTTTGTAAGGTTGTTTCACCTATTGAGTTTTTAACGCTCCAAGTTCAATGGCTCATTCCACGCTGCGTCCCAAGTTCTGAAATGTCGAGTGCTGTAAAACCAAATTTTCGACAAAACAAATGCTTCTCCAAGAGCCCCAGTCTTGTTTCCATTGGCTTGTCTGTCTGTGTTTTAAAATTGGCCAATTTTTGACGACGTGCGGTAGACTCTTCCGATGCCTCCTCAGATTTAAGTATTTCTTCCGCCGTCTTCTGTATTCCCGTCAACAACTGATCCGTTAATCTCTCTCACTCTTCAAGAGTCAAAACTTGCTTCTGGAAAGTATTTAGGATCGTTTTTGCAAATTCGTCTCTTTATATTATCTTTATTCTCGTACGTAGGCTGCTAGACTTTTTAGGTGTGGAGCGCTCTCTTGTGGTCGCCCTCTCTCAGTCATCTTGCAAGGGCTTGTTGTAGTTACAGGAGTCGCAGCTTAATTTTCTTTTCTCTTGTGCGGTTTGCCTTTTCGGTTTTTGCTTAAATGCCACTTCCTCCTGAGATTTTGGGCCTACTGATGCTGGTTCCCCATGGTTGGGTCTTGCCCTTTTGGTCGCTAAGTTAAGGCCAGCTCCTACTGTTGTTTCCTTTGATGTCACTTTTGCGTCACGATTTAGGAATAACTCTTCAGCCTGATCTTCTTGTAGCTGTTGCAGCGTCTCTTCTTCTGAGTCACTCTTCAAAGGTGGTTCAATTTCCTGAGGCTGATAATTTCGTTTAGTTTCTTTGAGAGGGCTTTTCACTCTGCCCTTCTGTCCCCATTTTGGCCCAGAAGTTGCCAATCCTGTGACCGGTACTTTTGCCCTCCTTAGGTTGTTTTTGGAATAGATTGATCCCGCTGCTGTAGTGACAGTTGTAGGTGTCTCGGACACCACGTTGCCTTTCAGTGGATGCATTAACGCTTTCCACTCTTTCTACTCTCATCTTTGCGCATAAGATTTGGTGAAAATTCTGTTGTCGATGGAGTAGGCTTGTCTTCTATAAATCCCTTCTCCCAAGATTACAATAACTCTTTTCTTAGCTCCGAATGATAGTGCTCATTTCGACAACGAGGCGTCTATGATCGTTGTCCGCTGATTCTCGCCCTCTCTGCGTTCTACTTTGCGTTAGGCTCCACTAACGCCTTAAGCGTCCTTGTTCTTTCTCTGTCGCGCGCTGATGACATCTGCTGCTTGAACAGCGGGCTTACTTTTCTACTTTTCTGGCCCTTCCGCACAGTTTTCAGACTATCGCGAGATTGGTTGATTCGTCTCTATAGTTGGCTGGCTGTGAGCGCTGACCTCTCCAAATGCTCTTTATCTAAACGTTCAGATTTTAATTACAACTCATCCCTTATGATTTTAAATTCAGTTTCTGGAAGTCGGCCAAAGTGTGCCTCGAATGGTGGTTGTTGAATAGTTCTTTAGTTTGTCATTTTCATGTCCCGAATTTTTGCACTAAAGCCGAATATTTTTGACGTTACGTTTTTTTCTTACAACATGACGCCGAGTTTTCTTTTTAGCATTTGGGTTGTTTTTTCTACTAGCCCGCAACCGCGTTGATCGCCAGCCGGACAAAATTTTTATTCAATGTTACTGTCTATTCAGAATTTTTTCATCGCTTTTCCTTTAAGACCAAAAAATTAATCTGTTTTTTTTATTCGGGTATTCCATGTGTATCAATATAGGAGCGTATACCTTTCATCAAAGATTTACACCCCGTCGATTTTGTGACTTTGACTGATGAAAATTTAGAGCATCGGTGGATTGCTACAAGCAGTTATATATAATTTGTCGTTTATGACTTTCTAAGGGACCGGCGTAGTCCAATTGGACTTCTTGTCCCGGTTGCGTGAGCAGTGGGAGAGATTTAGCAGAATTTTTTGGAATTGAATATATAGCATTCCTACCGGTTGTAGTGCATTCTCTACACTCTTCAGCTAAATTGACGATGTATTTATGCAAGAAGAGCCACCACAAATAGTTTGAGACGTCAAGCATAGCCTGCTGCCCAGTTGACCTTGGTGAATTCTCTTCATTACGGTGGGTCTACGTTGTCCCGGGACTGCTAGCCGATTGTCAACCACGTGCAGTCGTCGATGACTGACAATTGATTCCACAGTAGATTCGTATATGGGCCCATTACTTCAAATCCCGCCCGATCATTTGGTTCGATGACCCGTCGTAGTCGATCCATCTATACATCCTCGGAAATGAGTTCCACCAGTCAATTCTTATCAAACAGTTGTAATAAGCTAAGGAGTCAGACACCTCCCAGCTGTTCGGTCTTTTTAAATTCCTCCCCTTTACACCCTGCTCATTCTTTCAGTTTGTTATACATCGCTAACCTCTAGACTGCAGTCGTTGTCCTCGGTGGTTAGCTCCACTTCTATGATTGACTTCGTTCTTGTCTCCGCTGTTCTTTGGGCTGCTTGTCACGACTTCTGTGGCAGCCTCCAGCTCTAAGAGACTTCCCGGATAGTATTCTGCATCTTGGCTGATTAGATCCCAGAACGACAACAAATTCGTGCTTGTGCAGTTTCTTCCTCTGAACTCTCAGAAGCCAATCTGTTTACTGCCCCTCTTTTGATTGTACGTGTCCGCTGAAATGTTGTCTCGGTCACCTCCACCTCTGTGACTCTTCCCCTTTCTTGTGGCTTTTCCCTTTTTTTGATCCTGACCGTTTTCAATTTCTTTCGTGCTGTTTTGCTTTCCATCTTTTTTGAGCGGAATTTTTTTCTGAATTGAACAAAAGAATACACATAAAATGTTCGGTTTCAAAATTGAGAGTCGTGAGTTTGGAACTTTTCGTGCCGGTCAAGCTTTCCTCGTCTTGGACCGTTTGGTTGTTATACTAACCCTGCCTGGTCTTAATACTTGTATTTGTTTCAATTTGATGCTCGGAAATTTCTAGCATTTGTTCATTCCGGTCGAGCGTTGATGTATCGCTTAACCGACTGTTTAAACAGTCGAGAGCTTCATGAAAACTTTCAACTTTTTACTACAGTTTTTCACCTAACACTGATTACGGCCCGCCGTTTGATTCTCTTGATAACTAATCACGATACCTATGTCTTTGCCGGGAATATGTACTATTTTAAATTGATATGGTAGTAGCCTTTATACCCAGCGATTTAACCGCTTGACTTTAAAAGCTGATGTTAATGCTTTGCAATCAGTTACTGTTACGAAATCTTTCCCAACAAGTTTTGTTTAAGTCGATCCACCGACCAGACAATTGCAAGCAGTTCCAATTCATTTCAAGAGTTTTTTTCTCTTGGTTGTTCAAATATCTGGAAGCAAATGAGATTGGAATACAATTTCCCTCTTTCGGGGGGACAAAACCAAATTTTTTACCCGTTTTTCTTTAGAGAGATTGTAATTAATTAAATTTGTAATGTTCGCTAGAGCCATTTTGATCTCCTCGAACGTCTTCGAGTGTTCTCCCCGCACTCAAATTTGTTCACCTGTAATTTTTTATTTTTCTGTTTTTATTCTCGTTCTCTTCTCATAGCAATGGTCGAAGTTTGTCTGTTAGGTTAGCTGCATTTGTTATTAACTTAAATAGATAGTTTATGCTATCCATGAACGATTTCAGTTGTTTTTAGAGACTTGAAATACTCCAAATTCAAAGTTGCTTCCGTTTTTGTAATGTTAGGTGGGACCCCCTTTTCTGACAATTTATGTCCTAGCCAATTCACCTCATTTAAAAACAATTCACACTTCGACAAATTGAGGAATATGGTTTTCTCTAGCCATTTTTTCTAATACGTCTGTGACCAGTTTTTTATGCTCGGAATCCGTACCTTTGGACACTATTAGGATATCATCCAGAAAACAAACATATTTTTTGCGTTCTTTTTTTGAAATTCCCCTGGCATATGTCGATCAGGCCATAGAAACCTGTAAAAAATCCATAAATACCCGTCACGCGTCCCCCAACGATGATAAAGTCGCATTGTTTTGCGGTTTCTGCGTTCAATTTCAATTGACTGTCAGCGTATTTGAGATCAAGTACTGTAAAACTTAATGTACCTGCTGCTTTTGCAGTTACGATTTGGCTTAGCCCGTCCAATAGTTCAACCATATTTGGTATTTGATACTTACTTTTAAAAAACTGTCTGTTTATCGGTCTTGCATCTAATGCCAACTTAATAGAGTCGTCTTTTTTAACTTTGATGACTATGGGGGCTAAAAAGCAATGGCTCGTACACATATCTAACCGTTTAATATGACCCTCCGCCAAAAGTAATTCAAATTTTTTTCCAACTTTGTCTTGTATATGTATCGGGTTTCTTCTGCCCTTTTCCTGGTTGGGACACAATGGGTATTTAAATTTTGTGTTCACTACTTGGTTTATTGACCGGCCTTATTGGTCGAACAAACCCTTTTGAATCGAATAAAATTTTTGTTCCCAAACTTCCGACTGCTCTTTCGGGGTCAAGGTTTTGTTCCCAAAACCTTGACTTTTCTTTCGGGGCTGGTATGTGGGTAGCGCTGATCCCCACTTTGTTCTGGAGATTTAGACCCAAAATGCATCGTGTACGTCACTGTGTTATTGAGAATGCGGCATCGCAAACTTCCCATCCCGAAGATCGTAAGTCCGCCTTTAGCACCCCAAGTATCACTAATGGATAATTATTGTAGTCCACGAACTGTGCTGGCAGGTTTAAGTTTTCTGCTTGAACAAATTGCCCAATGTGAAGATTCCAAGATTTGCTTTGGTGTTGTCCAGTTTAGAAAAGATACTGGGATTCCCGTGTCGACTGTAATTTTGATGATCTGGTTAACGATTCCAACTATTGCTTTTAGTTATTTCATACCCTCGGATTTTGTGTCTCTACGTATGTCAACCTTTTTAACTTCTGAATTATTCATAACCTGAGTCTGTCATTGTTTTCCAACTTCTCTCGGATATACCTCTCGATCTTATCCATTTGGTTGACATTCTGTTCTGTGCGGCTTCGGTTATCTACTTTACCTGCTGAGATCTAAATATCCGTGCAAAGTGGTCCGCCTTATTACAATTCTTGCACAGTTTTTCCATTGCTGGACAAATTTTTAAATAACCTTCAACGAACTTCTTCCACGCCTCTTGCATGGTTTCTTTTTTTGCGTTATACTTTGGGTTGGTCTTCCCTTCTGATTGTTTTCTCTGAATTGATCACGACCTGATCAATTGTTTAGCTGACCCCTATTTTCCACGGCAAATTTTGGCTCTTGCTTGAATTTAATTTGTGACCCCGATTGTTGTATTGCTGATGCAGCACCTGCTTTCGACTTCTGAAACGCCTGCTTTCAAATGTAATTTTAGCTAATGCCACCATTTCTTTGAATTCTAGTTTCGAAATTTACTCATGTGGATTTTTCTGCACAAACCATTTTTTCTCCTCTGTTTCTAGAGCGAGAAATAACCTTGACACCAGACGTTTTTGCACTTCATAATAAAATATACTTTATGAACCACTTTTGTTCCTCTCTCTCTCTCTCTCTCTCTCTCTCTCTCTCTCTTCTTTCTTCGTTTTCCAGAGCAACACGGTCTCTTGCTAATCTGTCTTTTGTTTCACGAGCTGTTACACCAGCGTCATCTTCTCCCGTTCGTGGTGTTTCTGGTCTCGGTTTCGGTTCCTCTATGACTGCTTTTGAAGCTTCCAAAAGTATTTCCGGATTCACGTTTTCTTTTACAGTCACTGCCAAGAGAAACTGATCCAACCATATCTTGAAATTCCATAGTCGATCCGAATTGCTTTAGTCCAGAAAACGGGAATTCCCATGTTGTTCCGATTGTCTTGCTACAAAAATCCTGCTGACTGCGCCATATGATAACCCAGGAAACGGCTAATAACTTTATGTCAAACAGTGAACTCAAGTTCTTAAATTCAAGAACTTAATCTTTTAATTAACTTCGTTTTAGTTCATATCGACTGGCTTAAATCCATACACGAGTATGGCGAACTGAATGAAGAGTAACCTATTTCATAACAGCACCTATGACCTTGGCCATTAATAGATAACATTATTACATAGCGCCAATGATACAAATAACTGCAGCTGCAGTAGCAAAGACTATGATTAAGCTCAAGGTTACTGCATCCGCAGTACTACAGTTTATAATAAACACTTTTCCGTGAAATATACATTTTTAATGGACAGACAGTGTTATATGGGCTCATATAGCGACAGAAAAACATCTAAGACCTCTATATTACTATAAACCTATAAGAATAACTGACCTTCATTGATATGTATGTGCATAGAACAGCCCATCCTATACAGCAGACAATGTAGAGAGACTGTGCCCCTAGGAGAGTGAAGCCACCCCCTCTGAACAGCCCACTGGTAGTGAACAAGTTCTCTTCTGTGGGGTCAGGACCAGCGAACAGACCCACAGCTACCAGACTCCACACTCCCGCTGGACACACAAAAAAGAACATAAAAACGGGAAATTAAAATAAGTTTAAAACCTGTTAAAGACTGCTACGAATATACGGGACACTTTTTTGATTTTGACATCCATTTCACCAGAATTAAATTTTTTAGAATTGGTCAAATAGTGCTGAATTTTGTATGGTTTCTGCATAACAATTAACTCTTATAATTGAAACACCGATGATGAATTTTTTGGCATTAACTAGTTAATGATCGGATAAAGTTAACAACCTCCATCCCACACACACACAAACAAAAAAAACATCTTTAGGGGAGGGCGTTTAAAGTTTAAAATTATCAAAAAAGGGATAGAAGATTTCTGATTGGTCAATCTTGGAGTGAAAAGAAGGGATGTTCATCTGATCCGCGTAAGCAAACCTCCCCCGTGCACTGCCACTGCTCCCACAGGGTCGTCTATTTTGAGGAACTCGATGAGGTATCCGGTCCCTATCACCACTGCTCCCCCTATTCCCCCCACCACCAGAGCCTCCGCGGGGGTCATCACGGGGCAGAAGGAGGTGATGGACACCAGACCCCCTAGGATGCCATTGATGATCCAGCCGACGTCGAATCTGCCGTGCTGCAAGAAGAAACTGCAAACAAAAAACAAAGGCACGAAACGAATTTATTGTGAATATTTTCAAAAACTATTTTTCAACTTCATTTTTCCGACCATTGGATTGGGGTGTTTTAGTTTTTTTTGTTTTCCACGCAAAATCAGCTACCACAAACAATCATCGGACAGGGTTGAGTGAAATATCATACTTAAGTCTTTTTAATCGTGATTTGAACGACATTAAAAAATTTTAGAAAAAAAAAGTTTTCACAGTGTTCAGAAAAACCGGTTTAAATTTTTTTATTTTTGGTCTAATTTCGAGCTAATTAGTAAGATAGTTAGTAATTGCAATAGCTTATTTAAGCTTAACTCAAGTCGTAAAAAACTAGTTTCACTCAAGTAAAGGTAGCTTTTGGAGTTTTTTAGCGCAATTTTAGCGAATCAAAAACTTGAAAATTCAAAAAATTTCCCGCAAACAGTTTTGAATTTTTTTCATTTTTTTTTCATTTTTCTAGTCTTTTTTTTTCAAAACTGTTTTACACTTGACCTATTTTACTATGGCTCTCAAATATGCCTAAGTTCTATTTTTTCGTTCAGATTTTTTTTTTATCACGACATGCAGAAAAAAAACGACACCAATTTGAGAAAACGTTTTTGTATTCTTCTAAGACTGTGGTCGGAACATTCTGTGCGCAGTATTCGGCTATCCTTGTTTTTCCATTTTTTTTTCGTTTTTTTTGGGTGATTTTAGTTTCGATAATTGAAAAAATTATTTTCAGTTTCAGTTTGAAATTTATGTCTAGTTCTTTCGCCAAATTTGTGAAACTACCCGAGTTATGAAAGATTAGAGTGAACGTGTTTAGGGGGGGGGGGGGGGGGGGGGGTGGGTAACGCTTTTTTCAGGTATTTGACCTTTGCCGCCAATATGTACTAAGTTTGAGTGGGTATTTTTCGGTTCAAATCTTGTAAAAATCTAAAAAAGAATCTGTTTTCGCGTTTTTTTCTTTAAAAAAAATGCACCTGTTACGCAAAAAAAAAATTGATCAAAATAGTGTCTTTATTGTGATTTTGGCCAAAGTTTGGCCAAAACTATGTTTTTGTTTGCTCGGAAAATTAATTTGGTCGACCAAAAAAGTCATGAAAAACTTTTGATTTTTTGAAAACCCACTCCCCCTCGAAAAAGTCCTCAAATCGCTCCTGATTTGTTACAAATTTTTTGTCAAAGAATAGCGTCAGCGAAGCACTATGATGTTAGACGAACGAAGGCGCATCTATGTAAGCAAAGAGAAAATTGGCTATTTAAGTCTGAGCAATAAAAAAACTCGATTATTTGCGCGTCAAATACATTTGTTTCGATAAAAACTTACGTCATAGCGAAGGCGACGATGCCTCCCCCGATGGACCCATTGATTGTGGTGACGGCCGCCTTCGAGGCCAGTTTCCACTTGCCCCCCGCCACCCCATACGTGGAGCCACAATTGAATCCCAGCCAGCCCCACCTAGATAGTTTTATTTACTATTAATATTCGTATATTACCAAATGAGCTTTATTGCACAACCAAAAAAAACGATAAATCAAATTCTCATCTGATTAAGTAAGAATGCCGGTTATAATTACTAACCAGAGCATGAATAGACCGAGGAGGGCGTTGATTGGGCTGTCCATGTGGAACTTCTGCGGCTCAGTCCACCTGTTGGTCCTGGGTCCAATCATTATGGCAGCCACTAGAGCTGAAACAGTAAGAACAATGGCTTATATCGGTAGCGGATTAACGGACTCCCCCCCCCCCCTCCTTCTCCTCAAAAATGCGGAACTCTCGCGACACAAAACGGTCCTTTGATAATATTTTATGACATCCATTTTTGGCAGACAAACCCTAAAATTTTTTCTACAGCTGCTTTTGGCGTCAATGTATACTTATTTTAAGAGACGCGCGCGCTAAGTAAATACAAAACTTTCCAACAGATAACCAAAAAAGGCTTGAAAGATACTTTTATTGCATTATAAACTAGTGAAATATTAAATATTTTGATTTAGCTAGAGTTTTAAAGAGCTTTGAAATCCTAGCTTTGAAATCCTATTTTTTAAAACCCTGTATTCAAAAAAGATAAACTAGATTCATGTGCAAATTTTAGGGCGGTTTCTCGTAGAACTGTTTCAGAAAGAGCTGCTTTTTGGATATCGATACCAACTCTTTTTTCAATTTTCATAACAATCGGACAATGTGAAAGTAAACAAACATTTTACTTGTTAAATTTCGCAGATGGGGGAGGAAAGAGAGTGTGACCCTACCTGTGGCTCCCCCGACTAGATGTACAGCGCCGCTGCCTGCGAAGTCTATGGCCCCGAAGTGTTTGTTGAGGAAGCCCTCCTCGTGCCAGATCCAGTGGGCCGGGAAGGCGTACACGAAAGTGTTGAAGAATGAGAACACTATGTACCCTATGAAGTTCGCACGCTCTGCCACCGACCCACTCACCTTAAAAGTGTGAAATGAAACTACTAGCCCCATTTAGCTGATGTGTGAGTTTAATGTTGATAAAAATGGTGAAAACTGAAAGAACACCCCTGCGCTTCATTGAGCTTCAAAGAAAAATAATGACTTGAAGCGGTGCGGAAGTAGCGAAGTATCTGCGAGTCGGTAGAAAGGCCTGCGTTTCATGGCCCACGATGATTCGTGCTCGTCGTTTGGGGGCTAGTCAATATTATTGTTCCCCAAGAAAATTACCGAAAACATTTTGTAGGTTCTAGCTCAAAAACACAGCAGCGGTTCTCAATAAAAAGCTAAACAGCTCTTATGTTGGAACCTGCCCTCGTGAATAAATCATCTTAAATGTGAATAAATAATTAGACTTCTTACAATAGTGGTTGCGGTGGTGGCGAAACTGGACTGAAAGAAGAAGTGTGCGAATATGTGGCCCAGTCTGTCGGCGTCATTCGTGTCGAGGAAGAACTTGCTGCGGCCGAACAGTCCGTGGAACGAGTTGTCCCCGAAACTCAGTCCATAGCCCACCATCCAGTAGGAGATGCTGCCGAAGATCACGTCCACACTGGCATTCGCATAAGGGAGGTCAAAACATCTTTAAGCTAGGTAGAATTAAAAATTCTTTTTTTTGTCGAAAATTTTCTGAGCAATAGTGTCCCCTGACCTTCTTTCAGCAAAAAAATTAACAGAATCAGAACCAAATTAAAAATTTCAATCCGGAGCAAAGCAAGAATTTTCCCGAAAGGTGAGTTTTGTAGAAAAAACTTTTGTCGATACAATTTAGGTCGACCAAATTGATTTGTCGCGCTCCATTTTTGAAATGTAATGACCAATGCTATCGTTTCTTTATTTCGTGCTGTCCCTAAAATTTATTGTTTGCCCGGAAAGTGCATTTGGAAAAATAACCAACCAGAATGATTTGGTAAAATTGGAGTTAGGAGTGACGTTTTGGATTGTGAGAGTTAGAATTCCTCTTGGTTCTGTGTAAAAAGAACATTTCATGCAAAAATTAGGGCAGAATTGGGTAAAAAAACATCCCGAAATTCAGATAGAAAACAATTCAAAATAGTTAAAATTAAATGACTACTTTTGGATTTTTTGAAATTTTTGCATAAATGAAGTAATCGTTTCCAATTTTAGAGTAAATTGTTCCCAAAATATCACCGATCCAAAAACACAGCAGTCAAATCATAAAACTAAGTGACCTCCCTGTTTTTGACCATGATGTTGGACTCGTTCTTGTGACTTACAGAGCCAGACTCGAGCAGTCCGAACCCACTCTGCATGGTAAAGATAATGAAGGTCGAGGTCAGAATCCAAGTGGCATCGTCCCATGTATCCATCCTACTCGGATCTTAGACACCGAAACCCACGGTAATGAAAGAGAGACGACAAGGAAAAGATAAGACAGTATCAGTAAACGACACGTGAACAGTCGTGAATATATTATCGAGATGGGGATCAAGTTTAAAATTCATAAAAATGAAATGATTGAAAAATCAGTTACTGCACGAAAAGAGTGAACAAAGTACCGAGATGATAAATAAGGTTAACTTACAACAAAATGATGCAGCTTTGCTTATTGATCAATAATTATAACTATGATCAAACTTCTTTTTTCAAAAACTCAATTTCAAGATTGAATTCCGAGTATCTGTTGCCTATTTTAGTATTATAACCTATTTCAAAAAATTTTTATCAATTATTTTCTTTTCAATGGCAATAGAGAAAAAAACATCATTTCAAAAATAAGTTTTAATTGGTTCGCATAAAATAGATTTTGGCGAGTCTATTGGGTCAGGTCAAATCCTTACCCAATATTTAGGTTTAGTTAAGCATCATTTCCAGCTGCTCAGAGTTGAGTACTTAAGGCGATAATTTTTTTGGTCAAGTTAAAACTAATCAGAAAAAGATTATTTAATCCTAAGCAAATTAAATATTTTTTGAAAGACAATAAAATTGTATTTTCAGAATTAGTTGCATATACAGATTTTTTTGGGCATAACAAGCTAATGAAATGAATTTCAAAAAGCTTTTCTAAAGTTTATATCAGTATAAGGAATTAAATTAAATCACATGAATTTTCACCTATTAGAAAAGTGTTTTGAACTCTGAATTTATAAATAAAAACTCGATAAAAAACTGCTTATCATTTGCTGATATCGGACAAAATATGTTAATGATGTTTATAATGACGGTCTATTTGGCTGAACAAAAATGAAAACTCCGACCACCAAACCAAACTAAAGTGGAGATGATAAAATATACCAGGAATAATCAAATTGAATTTTTGCAAAATTGTTCAATGAAAATCTGAAGTGTTTTTAGCGTCGGACAGTTTGCCTGATTTTTAAGGAAAAGCCCATTAAAGGAATTGCTTAAAAGTAATTCTGGAGTAAAAAAAACACTCAATATGGACAAAACAAAAAATCTTAGAAACTCTTGACCTGTTTTCATGCTGCAATTAATTTAATAGATGTTTAATTTCAACTCAATGTAAATGCTATCAAGAACAATCTTCAAAAAAATGTTTGAACAAATTGAACTAAAAAACCGCAGGAAGCCGAAAACTACAAGATCCATCTTAAATTACACGCTAACTTGATAGCAGCTGGAAAATTTGCAGCATTGAATTTTTAGTTCAAGACCTCAAGTCTCAAAGTTAAAAGCCCTTGTGTATGATTTTTTCGGCTCTGTTCTCTTGAAACAAAAATGAATTAAACTTGAAATGCAATATCGGCGAACAACCTTTAAAATTTTAAGCTGCGATAATTTTCTTACCTTTGTTTTTTTGCATAAATTTCAATCAATAAAGAAGAATTAATTAAAAAAAACTTGAAAAAGTGTCATGATTATTGAAAAGAACCATAAAAACGAACCACAATAAAATCCAACTAAAGTAACCGAAATAACTAAGTTTTACACAAAGAAAAAACATTCAAATAAACAGGAACGATATCAATTACATGATTTATATTAGTTCCAGGAACTAATTTACCAAAAGTTAAAACAATTCATCCCTTTTAAAGTACCAGGTGAAATATTTATCTCAAGATTGAGTTTGCCCAAGGACATAAGAATTCAAGCAACGGAGTCTTGCGAAAAATTATCAAAAAACCTAGTAGGAACATAAACACTTAGATCTCTTTAACTATATCCCCCTCAGGGATCTATTAACGAACATAACGCTATAAATAAATCATAATCATAACAAGACCTCTCATAGCAGGGTGAAGCCCTGAATGTTTCGACTACCTCATAAGGTCTATAGAGCAGTAATATCATTACAAAATCAAATAAAATAAATAAAAATGATTTTTTTTTTAAATTGAGATTTTATTGTAAAAATAACCCCCCCCCCCCACACGCCATATGAAGAACAAAGCGATAGATTTCACTCCTAGTAACAAATAGATTATGGCAAAAAAGCTTCCTTCAATCAATTCGGAACGATTTCTAAATTTCTAAGACAGATTAAATCTCCGCTTACGCGTTTATAGCGCGAAATATATCGCGCGTTAATTGTCCCAATTTGGTCAAAATGGCAATCTTGAAACCCGCTTAACTTTACAAAAAACGATCAAAGGTAAAATATCTTAAAATTAGGCGCACGTCAACAATATATTTTTTAAGGATATTTAAAAAGTTCCGTCAAAAATGGCTAGTCGAAACTTGTCGAAATTTGTCTGAAGAAAAAACCCACCTCATGCACAAATATTCCGTTACTTTCGTTGCAAAAACCGGAACACTAATAAACGAATCACGCACATTAGGGAAAAATTTTATTTTAAATGTTCACATTTTATAGCGCCGATTAGAATGGTCACCGTAAGGCTACAAGCCTGCGTTCAGGTGCCAGTTGAGAGCAATTTGAAAATTCAGAATCTAGATTATTGTGGTTATCCGATTGAACCCTAAAGTTCAATTAGAATGTTTTTGTTGATGGAGATCGAAATCATGAAGATCGAAAAAAATTTTCGATCAGGTTTTTTTTTAATTTTTCCTCGTCAGGAAACAAAGCATAAAATTTAGCCTTAGTTTAAAAAAAACATTTTCAGAGAAACCTGTACCATGCTGATAGAGGTCATAGTTTATGAACATTACTGTCTCATTTAGTTCCTAAGCAATGTTTCTTTTTTAACAAAACGTTATAGTTTAGTTTGACATACACACTCGCTAACTATGTTTTAAGGTAAAATTTGTTCAGTATTGATTGTGTTTGTAATGTTCTGAACCGTGAATCACTTCGAAGATGCCTCATTAATTCTTTGGAAGTTATGAAATTTTTCACATCTATTCTCTTATTACTTTTGTTATTTTCTTATTACTTTTGTTAGTGTTTTTAAGACTTTTTGCTTATGTAATTCATAGATCAAAACAACTTTATAATTTTAACTCGTCGAATTTGGTTCATCAAACTTTTTTTTTCCGGTCATCATTCTCATTAAAAAAAATTGTTGATTTTGCATTTTATCTAATTTTTGTTTTTGATGTGCATCCATGAATCAGTGTTCCATATTGATAAATTGGTTGTACGTAGCTTTTGTACACTTATATGAAATGTTCACACGACAACATAGTTCTAATTTTGAGAATTATGTCGAAGAGAAATCAAATGAATTTAGCGCATCGATTTTTCACATGCCGGATATGTGCAGTGGAACACAACTTGCGATTAGTTTGAGCTCCTAAATATCCAACATCGTTTTCTGTTTACATAATTTTCCCTCATATTTGCGTATGGTTTTAATTTCTTTGAGCTAAAAACAGTTGTTTTGATTTTTTCCTTGTTCATCGTAAGTCAATTTGCTGCCATCAACGTTTCTATGTACTTCAAATCCAGATCAAATTTTTCTTCCAACAATTCGCCCCATGGACTTTTAAAAATTCAACGGTAAAGCATATCAGAATTTAATACATTTTACCAAATCCCCTTTTTTGGAAAAAAGGGATATGGTTGCAGAGATCCAAACACTTCTTTGAAAAAAAAAATTGTATGTTGATACAATGTTTTTTGGTATTGTTTCTATCTGCTAGATCTTCTTCAGTCTAGTTTCGCCGAAATTGCCGTATGAAAATTTGGCAGTGCTTCTTGAGATGACTTTGCAGCCTCCTCGTCAAAAGCAGCTGATAAAAAAATAAGAAAAAAGAAAACATGGAGAAAAACAAATGATTATTTTGGTTCCCTTTTTGTTAACTAACCATTGGAATCAACTTTGAAAACAAAATAGACTATCAAAATTGAGGACTTTGATTTTTAATGAAAGTGGACGTTAACACAAAAACGCGGCCTTGCTTTGCAAACAATAGCGAGAACACGACAAAAATCAGCTTGCTTTATAAGTACAATAAGAAAAAGCATAGATGAGCTTCGCATTAGCAAAAATTTGAAACAAATTTTAACTTTTAATAATTCAACGGTAAAGCATAACAGAACTTAAAACATTTTATCGAATCTCCTTTTTTCGAAAAGGGCGATATGGTTGCAGAGATCTAAACACTTTTTCGAAAAAAATCTATCTGCTGATACAAGGGTTTTCGGTATTGTCTCTATCTACTAGA